TGGGTTTTTGCCCATTTTACCTTTTTTTTTTTTTTTTTTGGCCTTCATTTTTTTTCCCCTTCCCCCCGCGCGAATGAATTACCCCATAATGTGAGGTTCATTTCCCCCTCTGGAAGGGCAGCATACTGGAAAGGGGATATGAAGAGAGTGGGGGGGTACCTCCCCTTTTTTTTATTGACTTCTCTCTGTACAAATGTGCTTTTCTCCTATGAATGTACATTTGTATGTCCCTTTTTATTTTATTTTATTTTTTTTTTTTTTTAATGCTGAGCGATCCGCACAAGTTTGACCAACAACGACGGCGACAATGATGATGGAGTACCTCGTAAACAGGGAGAGGGAACAACTACTGTGGAACGACCCAAGTCGTTATGCTGTCACAAATAAAAAAAAATATACAAATGAATATCCTTTTTATTATTGTAACGGAGGCAAGGACGACCATGTCGACCTTTGGAATTTTTTAAAATACAAAAATGATGAAATATGTTTTTCTTCGGAGGGGGAAGAGAACAAGTGCATTGCTGAGATAGCCCCAAACGAAGCAACACGAGCAAGAGGCAGCTTGCTGGGGACGCCCAAGAGGACGCGAATGCACTTCGAGTCCGGTGGTTGGGTTGCCAACCTCCTGCAGAGTTACTCCCCGGACTGTGTGCCCCATGGATTGACCCGCAGCGACGGTTTGGAACACCCAGCACGTGGCAGTGCCACACACAGTGTCATATGTAGCACCCCCCCCGTTGATGCTACCCCGGCTAATACAGCAGATGACAATGCAAACGAGCAGAGTAGCGAGCGAGAAGGTGCATGGAAGAAGGTGAGGACCGGCCATGTGGACAACCCGGATGAATCCTACCGCAGTGGATACGCGATTTGGTCCAATGAGCATGTGGACCCAAGCGAAGAGAATGATGGGGCTCGTTCGCAGAGGGAGAAAGAAGGAACAAATGTTGAAACCACGAACACTGCAATAACGCCATCGTTGAAGATTGAAAAATGTACACAGGGGGAGGGATGTAGTGGTGGTCCCTCAATTTGCAGCGGGGAGTGTCGTGGTGCCTTCGTCGGAGCAGATAAATTGGTGCATTTGCCAAACAGGTGGCAAGCAAGAAGTTGCACGGCGGAAGGGAACGACTGCAGTGGGGGTGATGGAGCAGGGAGTTCGTCTAACGGTGGTGGAGCAAGCAATTCACTGAACAGTGGATGCAACGTAGGGGGGAGCGGAGGAAGTGGTGGCAACCACGGTAGTAGTGGCGACGACGGAAAAGGAAATGGGAACCGCGGGAATGGCCACTTGGATGGTGGTCACCAGGAGGATAACCCAGAGGAGGAGAACGACGAAGAAGAAAAGGAAAAGAAGAAGAATGAGCAGAGAAAACGCAAACATGGCGAAGACAACATACAACAGGGGGGTATGACAAACGGTGAGAATGGTTTATACATGGGGGGAGACCCCAAAATGAATTACCTGCCCAATGGAAATGCAATGGTTAATGGGGGGTTCCGCATCGGGCCAAATGAACTAATGGACCACGAAAGGGCACTTGCCATGGGTCAGAGGAAATTTTCACCAGGAGTTCATTACAGCAACAGTAGCAGCAGCATGGGTAAGATGGAAAATGGCCCCATGAATTTCTCCTCCCCCAACAAGATACCGCCACACAGTTTGGTAGGTGCAAGCGGAAATGCGTCCCTCATGAATGGAGCGAAACTTAGCGCCGAAGGTGGAAGCTTCAAAAACGGGACCACCCTGGCGGGAAGCAAAAATGTGGCCATGAAAAGTTTGAGCGGTGGTATTGGTGGAGGTAACATGGGCTTCCCCCCAAATAAATCTTTTATGGCGAACCCACAAATGGGGTTTATGAGCAACGCGAATGTGGGGGGCGCCAAGGGGTCGCGAATGAATGGCCCTCACTTCAAAGACATGAACGATGAGTACTCTACGGAGAGCAAAAAAAAAGACACAGGGAAGAAAGAAATGATGGAAGGACCATTAAAAAGCAGCGACATGAACATGTATCCTAATAATGCCATTGGTGTTGGAAGTAATAACATGAACATGTTTCCCCCTCATGGAATGAATAGCGCCAACGTATTTTTAAACAGCCACATGAGTCGAATGAACAGTCTGAACGCAATGAAAGGGATTGTAAATCCATACAATGCACTAAATATGCCACCGATGATTGGTGCAGGTGGGAGCTCTTACAATTTCCATGTGCCTCCTCCTCATCCCTATGCCAGCATGCATATGATGAACTCTATGGGGCTGATGGGGAGCGGTGTGGGGAGTGCCGCTGCGGCTGCAGGTGGTATGTTTCCTGGAGGTCCCATCAACGACATGCACGCCGGGGTGGTGAACAGTCCAAGCAGGGCAGCCAGCGCCACGCAAGCAGCAACGTCCAAGGGCACCAAAAATGTAAGCAGCCAAAGTGGAGGCGCAAGTGGAACGGAAAATGAGAATGCGAAGAAGAATTCTGGTGACGCGCCCTCAAATAATAAAGGAACAAATAAAATAAATAGCACCACGGAAAATAATAAAAACGGAATTAAGAATATACGAATGGAAGATCTCACCTTTAGTGAAAATGTTTATCTGAAGAATGTAGATGGTCTTGACTTGAGTAAGAATTTTGTGAATGGAAAATATTGCTCCAAGCTACCCCCCAGTGAAAAAATTTATAATATTGTTAATTATATTGTGAAGAATTCCCTTGTGGACTATCTATTAGAATTTTGTAACAACGAGAATTTACTTTATAATGAAAAATGCGACATGTCAGATGGGAACAGCGGGGCGGATGTCGGCCCCAAGGGAGGTGTCACTCAGGATGAGCAGGCAGGAGACAAGGAGAATTGTTCGAATGTGAAGGAGGAGAATGGAGAGGAGAACGCGGTGCAAATTAGTAATGAGGGAGGAGAAGCGGTGGTTGATGACGATGGTAAGGAAGCCGTTAAGAAGGAAGACGAAGCAGTTAATGACGAGGGGACGGTTGTCGTGGATGGTGTTACCTCGACAGAGGAAGCTGCCCAAGACAAACCTGCAGAAGGACAGACGGGACAGGAACATGACAATGGGGTAGTGAAAGATGAACAGCTCAAGGGGGACACCATCTACAGGAATGGCCATAATGGCTGCAGCGGGGGCAGTGGCGGCAATGGCGATTTGCGTAGCGTGGAACACGAAGCGGATGAAAGCAACAAGTACATCTTAACAGAAATAACGAAAAGCATATGCTCCATAATAAACCTTCAGCAGCTCATGCCAGTCAACAACAGAGTGAGTAACCCCAATTTGATTTATGATCCTAACTATGAAACCATTTATTCAAAATGGAAAACTTTTTTAAGAAAGGAGCAATCTAGTGGTAATGTGATAAGCATGTGTTTCTCTAGGGATTTCCTGCACACCGTTTTGCTGTGCAACTATGTAACGATTATTGAAGATTTGAAGAAGACAGCCGTGAAGAAGAAAATAAAGTATTTTTTCCTGCACCTGTGTCTAGAGGCCGGGCTCTCCGTCAACGTCGCCCTCATGCTCTTCATCAACGCGGCCAAGCAGAGCAACAAGTTGCAGGTGAGGAGTGCTTTAGCGGCGGTTTAGAGGCGGTGCAGGAGCGGTTTAGAAGTGGCTTCGACTAGCTCCGTTAAGAAGCCGCTTGGACGTAGTTCACGTACCGCCTCCCCTAACCACCTGCGTGGCGTTCTACACCGCTGTGCTCATATATATATATATTTTTCCCCTCCCGCGTGCAGTCCCTGCTTCCCTCCGAAACCGGCCTGGGATACCTGCACCGAGACGCAGGAGGAGCCAAAGAAGAAAACATGGGTATCATCACCTTCGAGTGCATCACGAATGACCGAGAACCCGATCACCTAATTAAGCTCATAACACTGAAGAACATCTTCTCGAGGCAGCTACCCAAGATGCCTCGAGAGTACATTGTGCGCTTAGTGTTCGATAGGAATCACTACACGTTTTGTCTTTTGAAGAAGAACACGGTGATTGGGGGAGTCTGTTTTAGGCCCTACTTTGAGCAGAGGTTTGCTGAGATCGCTTTTCTGGCGGTGACCTCGACGGAGCAGGTGAAGGGTTACGGCACGAGGCTGATGAATCACCTGAAGGAGCACGTGAAGAAGTTTGGCATTGAGTACTTTTTGACTTATGCAGGTAGGTGTCCCTTCCCCCCGGCGCGGTACCCATTTGGATCGTCTTCGCCGTGTTGTTCATATGTGACGTGTTGACCGTGTTGCTCGCACTGCTCACACTTATCACTCTGCCCATATGTATCGTGTTAACGCGCCGCTTGTTTTCCCCCCCCTCAGACAACTTCGCCATCGGGTACTTCCGCAAGCAGGGCTTCTCACAGAAGATTTCCATGCCCAAGGAGAGGTGGTTTGGTTACATAAAGGACTATGACGGGGGCACCCTAATGGAGTGTTATATATTTCCTAACATAAATTACCTGCGCTTATCTGAAATGTTATATGAACAGAAGAAAACCGTTAAAAAGGCGATTCATTTTATTAAACCTCAAATTGTGTTTAAGGGGCTGAACGTGTTTGTTCAAAATAAAGGAGTGAACAGTGCCATTCACCCGAGTAACATCCCGGGGTTGCTCGAAGTCGGGTGGAAAAAGGAAGTGAAATATTTTCCCAAGAAGGCACAAAATAAGGAAGTACAGCTGAAGGATCAAATTATTAGTGTCCTGGACTTCCTCGAAAAGCAGCAGTCCGCTTGGCCCTTCCTCAAACCCGTCAGCCTGTCAGAGGCCCCCGACTACTACGACATTATAAAAGAGCCCACGGACATTTTGACCATGAGGAGGAAGGCCAGACATGTACGTGCGTGTTTAGCGGCGTGTGTGTGACGCAGCGTGTGCGTTACGTAGCGCGTGTGTTACGCAACTTGTGTGCTACCCAGCTCGTGTGCACAGTGGGCCGAGTGTACCTGCCCGTTGTTACACCCACTCATTTTTACCCCACCTGTGTGCCTTTCTTTCCCCCCCCAGGGCGAGTACAAAACGAAGGAGGATTTCGGAATCGAGCTGAAGCGCATGTTTGACAATTGCAGGCTCTACAACGCACCCACGACGATCTACTTCAAGTACGCGAACGAGTTGCAGGCGCTCATATGGCCCAAGTACGAGTGCATAACTGATGGAGGAAAGTGAGCTCATAACCTTGGAGTAATTTTTTAAAAAAAAGGGAAGATGGTGAAAATCACTATTTTGAAGGTAAAGGGACAAGTACTACACCTATTAGAGACGTTGCCTTTTTGCGTCGCCTACTGGGCATATTGCGAATGGTGCGTATGTATGTACATGTACATATGTGTGTGTGTACATATTTGTATGTACATACGAATAAGCGCATGGTCATATGCACTTGGGTACACCATTCCTCGAGCGGACCCATCATACTCTTACATTCGCTGTTAATATGCGCTTGTGCGAGGGTACAGATGCGGACGCGTCTTCCAACCCCGTTAACGTCAACTAGTCCTGTTTTTTAGCGTATCCCTCTGCTTGCATCTTCCTCGACTGCCACATTTGCCGCGTCTGCTGCTCGCACTTCATGTTGGCGTTGATGTGCATCCCACCCTGTCACCCCCGTCCTTTTATTTATTTTTTTTTCTTTTCCTTTTTCTTGCCCTTTTTCTGATGTTTCGTTTTTCCTTGTAGTATATGCCAAGGTCATTCCGCATTCACGCTGGCTTTTTTTTTTTTTTTTTTTCCCATTTTTTACGTTATTTTGTCAAATTTTCCCGCCTCCATTTTTGCCCCTTTTTTGAAAAGGTGAGCAAAGACGCGACAAAAGAAAAAAAAAAAAAAAAAAAAAAAAA